TTCCTGTAGGTGTCCATTTCATTTAAACTTTACAGACGCTGACAGAAACAAAACCTTTATCAAGATATCTACCCCATCCCAGCAACTTGGGAGGCTGAGGCAGGAGGATAGAAAGTTTGAGGCCAGCCTCAGCTATTAGCAAGGCCTCAGCAACTCAGTGATACCCTATCTCAAAATAAAAAACAAAAAAGGCTGGGGATATGGCTCAGTGGTAAAGTGCCCCTAGGTTAAATCCCCAGTATCCAAAAAAAAAAAAAAAAATCTATCCCAGACTCTCAGTTCAGAAGAGATCTAAATTTCTTTTAAAATTGCCTTTTTTTTTTTTTTGTTTGTTTTGGCAATTACATTTCAGTAAATGCAATTCTTTGTTGAGGAATACGCGTTTCATCCCATTTAGTTCACTCCTCCCTGGCTGCCACTGGGTCTTTCGGGAGTATGTCTTCATTTAGTGTCTTTCCGGGATGGTTAAAACTTCAACTCTGAGAAGGCAGCTAAATAAAGGTCCTTGAATCTAACAGAGTTGACCCTGTGTTCCTCAAAAAGAACTTCAGCACGCCAAGGCTTCAGCATGAGTTGTTCCAATGAAGTGATGCAATTTTGAAGGAAAAGAAACAAAGACCATTAAATTTTCAGCCATCTATCTTACTACAAATGGTCATGATATATTTTATTGTACATTTGTGGCTGACAAAATAATGAGTTTGAAAGATTTCTATATCCTAATCCTCAGAACCTGAGATCGTGTTACTTCACATGATAAAAGGGACTTTGCAGATAGACGTGATTAAATTATGAAACTTGAAACATGGTGCACATACCTGTAATCCCAGCAATTTGGGAAACTGAGGCAGGAGGATAGCAAGTTTCAGGCCAGCCTGAGCAACATAGCGAGACCCTGCCTTAAATAAATAAATAAGTAAATGGGGGTATATCTCACTCCTGGGCTCAATCCCCAGTACTAAATAAACCAAACAAACAAACATTGAGCCTAGTGGGCCTATAATCCCATTAACTCAGGAGGCCGAGGCAGGAGGATTAAAAATTCAAGGTCAACCTTGGTAACTTAGTGAACCTGTGTCTCAAAAATTTTTTTTAATATTTATTTTTTAGTTTTCAGCGGACACAACATCTTTATTTGTATGTGGTCCTGAGGATGGAACGCAGCGCTACGCGCATGCCAGGGGAGCGCGCTACCGCTTGAGCCACATCCCCAGCCCCCGGGTCTCAAATTTTTAAAAAAGAGCTGGGGATGTAACTCAGAGATAGAGCATTCCTGCGTTCAATCCCTAGTGCTGCAAAACCACCACCACCACCATTACCTTGAGGTGGGGAAAGTGGCCTAGTTAGGCAGATGGCCCCAGTGTAACCACATGAGTCCTTAACAGTGGGAAAACCTTTCCTAGCTGCAGAGAACCAGGAAGATGGTATTGTGAGAAGGACTTGGCCCGCCATTGCTGACTTCAAATATGGAGGAAGGGGACCACCAACGAAGGAATGCAGGTGACCTCAAGAAATTTGAAACACAAGGCAACAGATTCTCTCCTGGAACCCCCAGAAAGAAATGCAGCCCTGTCAACACCTCGATTTTTACCCAGTAAGACCCTTATCAGACTTCTGACCTCTAGAACTGTATGTTTGGTTGTCTTATGCAACCAAATCTTTTATAGCATCAACAGAAAACAAATGCAACATTTTACTCTGATTCTGGCTTTTCTACTATCTTTGCTTATAAGTAAAAGAAACCAAGTTGAGCCTCTTTAGGCAAACAAAACAGGCTTACTGTGAGCACACAGGGTATCCCAGGGAGGCCATGGCAGGAAAGTACTGGAACAGCAGAAAAGGTTCAGGACCACATAGGAAAACTGCTTCCTGGAGGATTCTTCCTCTGTCTTTCTCTTTGAATCCCACCTCCCTACCTCACCGCCACTCTGTTTCATTCTTCTCTTTCTGTAAACTGACCTTTTTTACTATTAGTTCATGAAGTCAAAGAGGGCTGAACTTAGTTTCCTATGGTGAATAAAATCTTATTTTCAATTCCAAAGTCCCAGGGAAGCAACTTGGGCACAATAGGCTACATGCCTGTTTTGGGTTGAATTGTGTTCTCCCAAAAAAGACAAAAAAACCCTAACACCCCCCACCAACTCAGAATGTAACCTTATTTGGAGGTAGTGTTGCTGCAGATGTAATCAGATATGATGAAGACATACTGGAGTAGGGTGGGCTTTTATCCCAATGACAGGGGTCCATATAAGAAGAGAAAGATAGCATATGAACGTGAAGAGAGTTCACAGTTACACTGCCACCATCCAAGGAATGCCTAAGGCCACCAGAACCTGCATAAGGCAAAGGAGGATACTTCCTTTGAGGCTTCAGAGGGAGCAGGACCTGCCAACACCTTGATTTCAGACTTCTGGTCTCCAAAACTGGGAGGCAATATGTTTCTGTTTTAAGCCACCTGGTTTATGGAACTTTGTTATGGCAGCCTTAGGAAACAAATACAGTGCCCTAGCCTGAACCAATCAGCTATGTCTTAGGGGACCAGATTTTATTGTACAAATGTGACTCTTTGCCATTCACCCCTATGGCTTGGGGGTTGGGGGACTTATTTCTAAAGAAGAATCATTGTGAGTTGGGTGGATAATCCAGAAAGTGGTCCTCTCCATCTCCTCAGAGCTATGACAGTGTGATTTTTATTTTCCAAACTACAATCCATTTGCCTAATAATTTTTATTGGTGATTGCCCTTGTCACTGTTTCTTTCTATTAATTAGACAGTAGACACAGATGTTCAAAAATATTTCTGAAATTTCTATGCTCATTTATTTATCTGATTGATTTACCAGTTTCCTGGCATGGAGTGAGAAGATTCTGGAGGTTTAATTTCTCATCTGGGTTCTAGGACATTGTTAATCCTTACTTTATGCCCTCCATGAAGTGCTTTATCTATGGCAATTTGGAATATCTAATTACCATGAACTTATTTCCTTTTTTGTGTGTGGGGGGTGGGTAACCAGGGATTGAACTCAGGGGCAGTCAGCCAATGAGCCACATCCCCACCCTGTTTTGTGTCTTATTTAGAAACAGGGCCTCACTGAGTTGCTTAGTGCCTCACTTTTGCTGAGGCTGGCTTTGAACTCTCCATCCTCCTGCCTCAGCCTCTGGGATTATAGGTGTGTGCCACCAGGACCACCAAGAGGGAATGGAGGTATTCATACAATGTTCCTGATCTTTTTAGAGTGAAAGACCAGGAGAATTCTTCTGGTGGAAGAAGCTGTGCTGTCCCCTTTTTGAAACGGGTCCCTGGCCCAGTTAATACATCTGATTTTCAGGATAAGGATGAGTCAGAAAATAATAAGGCTACATATTAAACTTTATAGTGAACATGTGCCTGGCAGATAGCAAGCAGTCAATACATGTCAGGTAATTATTAGCGACATGGCCAATAAACACCTCCCTCCCTCTTGCCACAATTCAACGTTCCTTATTCCCAAGGTCCTTCATTTTAAGCCTGAAAATGGGAAGGGGAAAATAATAGGCTAAATAATGGCTACTCTAAAAATGTCCATGTCCTGATTCCCAGAAATTATGTATATCTTACATGGTAAAAAAAGGATTTTGTAGATGTGGCTAAATTAAGGATCTTAACATGGGAAGATCACCCTGAATAACCCAGGTGGGCCTATAATAATCATGAGGGTCTTATAAGAATGTGGTGTGAGAGTCAGAGGGAAAGGATATATGACAAAAGAAGCTGGAGTGGTGTGTTCAGAAGATGGAGAAAGGGGTCACACCCACGAAGGCTAATCGTCTCTGGAAGCTGGAAAAATGGATTCTCTCCTGGAACCTCCAAAAGGAGGGCACCCTAATCATACCTTGATTTTTTAGCTCAGTGAGACCTGTTTTGGACTGCTGACAGTAAGACAACAAACATATGTAGTTTTAAGTGACTAAATTTGTGTATAGCAGCAATAGGAAACAACTACAGAGGGAATCAGAATTTCTGCAAAATTTTTTCTCCTGGATTCAGGTGTCCTGTTTAATTGTAGGGTATGAGGTACACTGAATCCACTGGTACCTTTCTTGCCATGCCATCTAGCCAGGTTTTCACCAATTTTCAGACTTTACCTTCCACTTCTGCCCACCCAGGTTTATTTCTGTGGTTCCCAAGAATCTCCTTCCATTCACCCACCTTTGGGGCCTGATTAGCTGTTCTAACACTGGAGTTAAGTCCACCTGTTTGGGATTGGGATTACTAGAAACAGGTAAAAATTCAGGCTACAACTTCAACTGTACATATAATAATAATGAGAAACCTTTTAAAAAACCGGGACACTTGCTGGGCCTGGTGGCCCACACCTGTAATCCCAGTTACTTGGGAGATTGAGTCAGAAGGTTGGCAAGAGGCCAGCCTGAGCAATTTAGTGAGGCCCTGTCTCAATGGAATGGGGTGTAGTTGGGAGGTAGAACTCTCCTTGGTTCAATTTCCAGTACCACAAAACAAAACTGGGGCATTTTCTTCCCTAGCATCAGACCAAAGAGAAAAGCAGAGCAGGTCTGGGAACCAGAGGGACTACAAACTAGAATCTAGCTAGAAACAGCGAACTGCTCTACACGTTCTTGGATATCTGCTCACGGAATTTTAAAGTCTGAGACGTGGGCAGAAACTCCGGGCCCTTAGTCCAGGTCAGAAGGCTAGATACGGAGACAGAAGAGACCCCGGTCAAAGTAGAGTTTAAGAAACCCGGATCTGAATCCTGTTTCGAAGGAACCACGGTCTCTGGTCTCTCACTTCCTCCAAGAGACCCCAACAGAGCCTGCTTCGGGGTGAGCTCCTCAAAACGGCTGGACCGGGAGTGTGCACTACCCCAGTCCCTAATTCAGGTCCACGTCACTGAAAGGAGGAAAAGTATAAAATGCATGTCTCTGGCAATAGGCAAGAAAGGCACGTTGCCAAGAAAGCGCGCTTTTTCGCTCTTCTCTCCCAGAATAAAAGGCCGTTACTTTTATATTCGTGATGACTTTATTTTTTCTTTCCGTTCTGTTACTAGCTAGGAGCTAAACATTGGCCCGGCCCCAGGCGGCTGCTGGAAAGGCGCCCTCCAGGAGCAGAAGGCTCGCAGGGCGGGGGCGAGCTCGCGACTCCTCTGCCAGCACCGCAGGAGCCTTTCCAGGCTTTCCCGGTCAGGCCAAGTCCTTAGTCTGGACCCCAACAGCAGGGGTCGGCGAGGGGACTTCGGGGGACACTGGGGGACACTCTCCGCCTAGCCCGCCCCCACAGCCCCAACCCCCTCCCGCGTGCCCGGCCGCCGCTGGGCGGGGACCACCCACGGAGCCGCGTGCCCCGCCCCCGGAGGCGCCGCCCCGCCCCGCACGCTGCTCCCAGCCGGAGAAAGCCCTGCACAGTTCAAAGTGTTCTCAGTCCTTCCTACGCCAGGGTGGGCTGCGGTTCCCAAGCAACTTCAGATGAAGATGGAGAAGCCGGCCTGCGGGCCTCGACCAGGCAGAAGGATGGGCTTCTTCCTCTCATCTCCCTCCTTGGTCCAGCGGAGAGGTTCTCTACCGCAGCCTAAGTTTTGGGTGGTAACTTAATTCGGAAAAAAAAAGTTAACGTCTGGTGGTAGGATAAAATTACAACATTCCCAAATCAGAACTGAGAATCTTTCGATCTTATTCAGATCTGAGAGGCGTAGGTTGAGGTAGATGGGGTGTGGGGGCTAGGGAGGTACTGTGGCATTTAGGAGAGTCTCCAGTCTCCTCCTGGAGGTAGGGCCTATCGTCTGGACCCTTGTGCTTCTCCCCTTCTGTTTGCCAGAATGGAAAATTCAATGAGGCCAGCTCAGCCCATGTCAACAAACTTTTATTGCCACTTCTGGCTTCCCCAGCCCAGCAAGATTGCTGCTTCTTACACTGTAGAAAAACTAGATTCTGGTGCAGGGGGAATAGGGATAGGAGACATTTCCACACCTCTGCATACTTCCAAGTTAAAGAAAACCCCACTTGCTAGAGAGGGTCAGACAGAAATTCAAGGGCATGTATGGCTCAGTCCCACATCTGCTGACTGCAGAGTATAGGGACCATGGTTCCAAAATTTTCAGAGGGGGTGGGATGGGGTGGGGATAAATTTGGCAGCTGTTGTATCCCTTACCCTTGCTGCCATGTTTCCACGGAAATGAGGGAGGGCAGGATGTAGCTCATTCTGACTACCTGGGAGGATGGCAGGGCAGGCATTTGGTAAACATATCCCCTCTCCACTCCTACCAAACACACACAGCTGTCCCCAACCGACCCCCAAGCTCTCTCCCCACTGCCTGCTCCACTCCTTTCCCTTCTGGAGCTGGTATCATGCCAACTGGACTCCAGGCAGGGCTGCTGGTGTCTGCTCTCTGCAGCCAGGTCTCTCTGGCAGCAGCATCTAAGTATGTCCACCAAGCTCAGCAGCAGCCCTAACAAAGCTGTCAGTTGTAGTACCTCAGTGAAAAGGCAGCAGCTAGTACCCCCCACAACTCTCTGTGCAACTTCTGTTTCCCAAAACTTAAACCCAAATGTTTAAGGTTAGAAACAATACAAAATAATGATATGAGGACTAGGAAAGAGGAGAGGAGATACATCCTTCTGAGACCTGAGCCACCTTTGTGCCCTGCCTTCTGCCCATCTGGAGTTTGCTTCCTCCTGCTGGGTCACCAATGGTGGGGGGCTGGAATCCAAATCTCCATTGGATTGCCTGTCGCTATGGTGAGGAGGTGCAGGATGGATTCTCAGTACCACGGGTCTGCCCGATGCTGCTGATTGTAGAGCTGTAGCTTGATTTGGTCTTTGATCTGATTCACGAGGATCTGGGACAGCAGAATTCCCACCAGCTGGGAGAAGCAAAGGGAATTGGGTCCTCAGCATTGAGTGATGCCACTGTTTTCTTGACTCAGCCTTCCCATTGTGGCCAGCACCATCCCTTCCCCTGGCCCTCATCAATGTCAGTGCCTGACACCCCAGCGGATCCCCAAGTGCCCTCCCCCAAACAAAGGAGTCTTTGCACAGTTTGTGGGACCTACAAGTCTTACAGGGTAAGTTACCTGAGGAATGGCTAGGCCCAGTGCCACACCACCAAGTAAGAATAGGTTGCTGTGTATCCAGTTGACCAACTTGTCAATACAGCCATTGGTGTAGATGACTTTACTAGCTTCCAAGTAGTCAAAATCCTGCATACCTTGGCCACACATAGTGTTGATCACCGCCTGGAGAGACAGTTGAAAAGCCAAATGGGACTCCCATTCAAATATTTTTCGTTTTGGGTCCTGGGGCCTCTCACCGTTCCTAAATTCCTAAATTGTTAGAGAACATCTTTGAAGAATACTGGGTTAGAAATTGCTAAATGCACAGTTCCCCTCCCCCTTTTAAAATAGGGGCTGGGGATGTGGCTCAAGTGGTAGCACGCTAGCCTGGCATATGTGAGGCACTGGGTTCGATCCTCAGCACCACATAAAAATAAATAAAGATATTGTGTTCACCTAAAACAAAAAAATAAGTATATTTTTTTAAGTTGTAATTGGACACAATACCTTCTTATTTATTTATTTATTTTTATGTGATGCTGAGGATCGGACACAGGGCCTTGCACATGCTAGGCACGTATTATACTGCTGAGCCACAACCCCAGCCTGAGTTCCCTTCTTTGAGAGGTCTGGTCCACTTCTTGCTTTAGATCTGCCTCTCTGAGCCCTGAAGTGTGCTACTAGAGTGAAAGGTGAACAGAGCCTCAGATTGGGGAGAAGAAAAAAACACCTGACAAATGCCCTCCAGAACTGATTCATTAAATTAGGGAATGGAGTGCCCCAACAGCAACGGCCCTATTCAGAAAGTAACCCAGATCACTACCCAGGAGGAAATGAGGGGGGATGTTTGCTTACCTGGTTGGGGGTAGGCAAACAACAGGAGTAAGGCACAGAGCATCGCTCACGGCTAGGGTTGTCATCTGAGCAGTTGAAATACATATTCTGGGACCAATCCTTGTAGGAAATCCCTCCACAGCAGCTGAACTGCAAGAAAGCCCACTGCAGAGGTTAAAAGTCACCCACCCCTCACACTGGGGTGGCCAGGATAATTCTCAAAGAATTCTCAAAACTTATCTATGGCAAACTTCTACTTTTTTTTTTTTTTTTGGTACCAGGGATTGAACCTAGGTACACGTAACCACTGAGCCACTCCCCGGTTCCTTTTTATATTTTATTTAGAGTCAAGGTCTTGTTAAGTTGCTTAGGGCTTTGCTTAGTTGTTGAGGCTGGCTTTGAACTCATGTTCTTCCTGCCTCAGCTGGGATTCCAGGTGTGCAACACCATGCCTGGTAAGCTTCCACTTTTTGTAAGTTGAATCTTAAGCTTGAGCCTTTTAGTTGCTTTCACCTGAAGAAATTTTCTTAATTTCTACTACTTTATGTATCTTCTTATAATTTACCGCAGTGCTCGATACTACAGTTGTGTATATATGTATTGTTTTGCACATTCAACTATAAACTCCTTGAGAGAAAGTTCTGGCTTTGTAGTTCTGCACAGCACAGATTCTGGAAGAAGAAAGTATTCAAAAATACTGGGCTGGTGGTGTAGCCCAGTGGTAAAGGATGCACTTATCATGCACAAGACCCTGAATTCAATCCCAGTACTACTAACAAAAAAAAAAACAAAAAACTACCCAAAACTACTGGCTAAAATAATTAAAGAATCAGTGCTTAAAAATTTACCTTAAGATACAGAAAACACAAGAGGGGAATCTTTAATATTGTGAGTCCATAATTACTTTGTGAAAGCAAATTGAATCCCAGAGTCAAGTGTCTGTTGCACCATAGAACTGGGGCACTGGTCTTAAAAGTACTGTTATTCAAATTTTAACTTTTGATTCTTTGCAGCATCAGTCACAATAGCTAAAAGGTGGAAGCAACCCAAGTGTTCATCAATTGATTACTGGCTAAATCATATGTAATTTTTACACTCCAAAATTATTCAGCCTTGGGGCTGGAGTTGTGGCTCAGTGGTAGAGCACTTGCCTAGCATGTGCAAGGTGCTGGGTTTGATCCTCAGCACCACATAAAAATAAATAAATAAAATAAAGGTATTGTGTCCAACTACAACTAAAAAAATACATATAATGTATATATAATATATAATATAATTATATATGATAATTATTTTATATATTTCAATTATTTTATATATATATATATATATATATATATATATATATATATTTATTTATTTATTTCAGGAAGGAAATTCTGACACATGCTACAATGTGGATGAAACCTGAAGACATGCCAAGTGAAATACATCTGTCACTAAAAGGAAACTATTGTATGGTTTTGTCCACATGAGGTACCTAGAGTAGTCAAATTTATAGAGAAATAAAGTAGAATGGTGGTTACCAGGGTGAGAATGTAAAATAAGTAATTAATGGGTACAGAATTTAAGCAAGGGAAGATGAAAAAGTCCTGGAGATGAATGGTGGTAATGGTTACAAAGCAATTTTCTTTTTTATTTGTTTGGTGGTGTTGGCAATTGAACCCAGGGGCACTCTACCACTGAGCTACACACTCAACCACTATTTTTCCCCCTAATTTTATTTTCAGACAGGTCCTCACTAAGTTGCCAGAGTTGTCCTTAAACTTGGTATCCTCTTGCCTCAGCCTCTCAAGTAGGTGGGATGACAAGAATGTGCCACTGGCTGTGAATGTTCTTAATACTACAGAACATTCACAGCCAGTGGCACATACATCTCTAGGGCTAGAGATGTAGCTCAGTGGTACAGTGCTTGTCTATGACATGCAAGGACCCAGATTCAACCCCAGCATCACAAATACAAAACAGTAAATTTTAAGCCAGAAATACTTTACCACAATTTTTAAAAATGAACTTTCGAATAAGTAATCAAAAAATCTGCCCAATTCCTCATAGGAACTATTTATAATAGTTTCTTACAAATCCTTCCAGAATGCTTTTGCAAATACGAATATATATTCTCTCCTCCCCCGACTTTTTTTTACACAAATGGTAGATTACTATATATACCATTCTGTGTCCTTAAAAATACTTTTAAGGCACTGTGTGTGTGTGTATGTGTATGCCAACATCCTTTCCAGAATCCATTACATAGCAGGTAACAAAGAGGCCTACCAACCTGAAGGTTGAGGTATCTCCTGGTATAATGCTAACTTTTACTTGAAGCCTCAAGGTCACTAGCTGACCCCACCAAGCTTAGCCCATACCTTCTTCTGGCCAAAATCAATGAGGTTCTGCAGATCCAAGTCATCTCGGTAGTGCACAATGGCATTGTTGATGATCTCATTCACTTTCCCCCGAGCCTACAAGAGACATGGATAGAATTAGGACATAGAACTAATCCCTAATTTATTCCTTCTTATAGAAATAACAGTAGACAAGGATCACTGCCCTCCCCCACCCCGTGATTTCTCTATAGTTTATTGTCATAGAAGTTGTGGGATGGCAGAGGGGGGACCCTCCACATAGAATATAGCATGGTCAGAGCCCCAGGGTAGCCTTTCCCATGCTTATGCCAAGCTCTAAGCAGCCAGGCACAGCTTGGCTCCCTTTCCCATCCCATCCAGGTGTATATGATGGCTACTAAAGTTAGTGCAGCCAAATGGCCCCAGGCCCCTTTCTATTGCCCCAGCTCTAATCCTTCTGCCATGCTTCACTTCCCACCACCTCCCATTCCAATTTTCTTTTTAGACACTGGATATTTCTCTCAAATTATGAAGATCAATAACTTACCAGAAAGCTTCCTCCTGAAACACATTCAGGAGGCCTATGTCCTTCAGAGGCCCAAAGGGTTAATGAGAAGCCCTATCAGCTTTGCTGGATGGAAGCCAGGCTTCAAACCACCTGTCCTTGCAAATATGGGATAAGCAGGGAGAGTCTAAAGGAGGTATCATGACAACAGCAATGACCTCTTGTCCTTCATTTGTGGACACCCAGATAGGAGAGAAAAGAAGCATGTCCTCTCCTCTTTAATGCCAAAATGGAAGAGGTGGATATATTTATGGGCCTGGGTTCCAAAGAGATACTGGGACATCTCTCAGGAGTGGGGAAGAATCACACATTAAATTTAGGTCAAAGTTTAGGGCAGCAATCAAAGATCAAAGGTATTCCCTCCTCAGATCATCCTTCTTTGAGTCAGTCTTGAAATCAAAACCAAGTCCTAATAGGGGAGATGGCCAGTTCCCAGGAGCCTTCATCAAGGTCCTCAGGTGCCAGTGGGCAAGAGAAATGCTGGACTGCTGTCACCATTTCTCAGAGTTACAATGTCAAAATAACCCAGTATACCTCAAAACATTTATCGACTGATTCAAAGTAGAGAAACTAATTGCTTTTTTTCCTTCTCCTCGCCCCCCCTCCCAAAGATGATTACTGAGAAGAGGCACTGACCTCTAGTGGACATAAGAGGATTGCATCTTTTTAGACTCAGCAGATCTGTTTATCATTTTAGGATTTTTACTAAGCCAAAAGGACTAGAAAACTATGAACTAACTTAGCGGCTCTCAGTTTCATAATTGTCTACCTTGCTCTTTTTCTGCTCCAATATATTTTCTCATAATTTTTTTCTACAGGGCTGAGGTTGTAGCTCAGTGGTAGAGTGCTTGCCTAGCATGTGTGAAACACTGGGTTCGATCCACATCACCACATAAAAACAAATAAATAAAATAAAGAAATGTTTGGAGCATGATATTCCCTTAAAAAAATTTCCGTCCACAGTCCTATACTTTGTCCCTGGTAATCATTTGCCTTTTGAGAAAGGAATTCTGTTTTTGTTTGTTTGTTTTGTGTGTGGTACTGGGGATTGCATCCAGAGCCTCATGAATTCTAGTGCTTTCTAAGCAAGCCCTCTACCACTGTGCTTCATACCAAGCCTGGAATTCTGGTTCTTAATAAAAAGGACTGTCACTGCATGGCACACCACCTCGAGATATGGTAAGCACTGTTTAAAATTGTGTGTTCTTTCCCCTTAGCTTCCCTCTGTCTTCTCAAAAATTTATTTTCAAGGAAATAATTTTTTTAAGGAAATGTTGTCTGTGGTCCACTTGATCACTGACTTTTACTTTGTCATTTTCCATTAAAGTTTACAGGTCATTTTAACTTCATGTTTATAGAATTTTCTTCCCTGTTGGCCTCTCAGGCTTTCTAAGGAAAACATTCTACAATTGCAAAATTCTCTTTAAATATGGTGACTTTAAAGGCCATTTATTCATCCCCAAGGAGAACCTTTCAAAGGCTGATGTATCTCTGGGGAAGGAACACTGTGGTTAATTAATTGGGCTAAACACAAGCAGAAACCTTTCCTTTCTCCCTCTGGGTCACATCTGAAGAGGCCCCTAGGCTCCCAACCTTACCTTGTCTGAGAAGACGAAGCCCAGCACCCCAGCAGCCAGCTGTAGCAGGAACACAATGGTGAGGCAGAAGGAGAACTGTAGGGAGAAGGCAGGAAAAGGAGACCATCTGTTATCATCCTGGGCAGCAGCCCATTCTGGGGCTGTGGGGAGTGTTGGGGGGCCACCAGGCATTTTCCCCACATTTCACTAACATGGGAAAGGCTCCTACCTCTGGACACTGTCCTGGGGATGACCACCCTATTCTGGGTCACCTGGAGCTGAGCACTAGTGAGAAGTGGACAGCATAGGCCTTAGGGTGGGACAGAGGAGCCAGAAACAGAAAGGCTATAGGAATAGTATCAGGAGGCTCGGAGAAACAAGGAGGAGGGAGCCATTGTCTCTCCATGGGGCCCTTGACCACTCACCGTCTGCAGGAGGCAGATATTTTCACGGAGGGATCCAATACAGCCACAGAAGGTGAGCAGGAACATGAGGACACCCACCACAATCAGCAGGATGGCAGGGTCTACCTCCAGGTAAGCCAAGGCTGCTTCTGGGAGAGAGGCCTACCCTCAGTCTGAGGCTGATGCCCACTGAAAGGACTCCCGAACTGTGGTCCTTCCTCTGGTGAGGCAATCTCCAGTGTGGCTGGGTGAAGGTTATGAGGAGGAAATGCCTCCTTGCTATGGGGAGGACTAAGAGGCCCAAGCAGGGCTATGGCATTTCATTTGAGGAAGTAAGGAAGTAAGAGCCTTATTACTGGGCTTAAGAGAGGAGCAGCCACTTTCGCTCCAGAAAAGAATTAGAATTGCTTTAGGCTTGCCAGCTATCAGATTCTGTTTCCTGGAGACTTTGTACAGAGAAAGAGGAATGGAGGTTGAGTTACTCCAGGACAAGCCCAGGGCGGGTAAAGCCCTAGACTGTTCTGTTACCAGATGGCTGGATTCTCTCCTAGACAACTCCTAAACTTCAAATGTAGGCATACCTTGGGACACTCAGGAAAAGCCAGGTGAATTGGCACAGATGTGCTGGCATTTTGGAGTAGACCACCCAGATCTCACTGCTGCCTCCTTCAGTCCTGTCCCTGCACCTTCCTGCAGGAGCTATGGGGCTGAAGGGGGCAGAGGGGAAAGAGACATAGCAAGAGCCCTGGGGAAGTGAAGGGAGACCTGTAGCTCACCTGCGTGTTTCATCAGCCTGGCATAGACACCCACACCTACCATCACCATGGAAATCACCTGTGGAGACAGGGAAAGAACCAGACCCTGAGATTTTTGGAAACCAAAGAACCCTGAACTCTGTGTGAGTATCCTCCTGGGACAGCAGAGGGTCAAATTTTCCAGGACCCAAGGGGTGAGTATATTTCTCTTCTCCCCCAATGATACTGCTGATAGTATCTGCCATGAGATACTATCCCCAACATTATCTCATTCAATCCTCATAGCACAATTATCTTGTGAGGCAGATAGTATCCTCATTTTACAGATGAGGAAATTAAGGCAATTCAAGTTTAATATAGAACAGTGATTAAAAACATGGGCTTTCCCAGGGGCCTGAGGGTGTATATAGCTAAATTGTAAAGCATATGCTTAGCATGTAGGAGGCCCTGAGTTAAATCTTCAGCACCTAAAATACCCCATCAAAACAGAACACAACAGAAAAAAGTAAACACACACGCAAACACACACTCTGACTCTGGAGTGAGGCAGATTTGACCCCATATGAGACAAACTTCTGAGACTCAATTTCTGTATCTGCAGATGTGAATTGAGAACAACTACATTGAATGAGATTACTAAAAGAATTAAGTAAAATAATGCATGGAAAACATAGTTTTCTTGCCCAAATTCACATAGGAATTGTGAAGTTTTGAATTCTGATCCATCTACATTAAGGAGAAGGTCTTACAGCTAAAGCAGGCTCAGATGGATGCATACTCCCAGCTCTCTGACCCTACTAGAGGTCAACAAAGTGTCTGGTTAAAAAAAAAAAGAAAGAAAGAAAATGTACTCCAATGTGAAAGTCTGTGCATGAATATGCGTGTGTAAGTACCAGAACTGCCTTTATAAATTTTGAGTCCATTGTGGGGGAATTTCATGGCTCCTCCCTGAGAGAAGAAACCCATCAGAGACTACTGGGAGTCCCCAGAGGGGCCTTCTCAGCCCCTCAAGCCTCCAGGAGTGCTGAGAAACCCCAGTGTGTACCCCGCTCGGCTACCCTTCCTTTCTTTGCTCCCAGTCTCCAGGCTGGTGCTAAGCAGCAGCTGACTATCACCATGGCAATAGATGAGGCCAAGCTCTGGCAGGGGAGAGTTCTCAGCAGCAGGGACTTGACCAACTCAGTAGGGAAGGAGATGGCTGGCTAGATCCACTGTCCTCCAAGACAGAAACCAGCTGGAAAGAGCCACCCTGTGGACTTTTGTGGGAGGAGAGTTGGGCCCCTAGAACAGGTAATAAGGTCATAAGATAATAAGTTTGCTGGGAGAAAGATGTTTTTCCTTATGGGAGTTGTTTATGAAGGTCCTCTGCCATCTGGCAAGGGAGGGCTGGTGTACTCAGAGTAAATGGCAAATCTCTTATATAAAACCATGTCTTTCAGGATCCTTCTCTCTGTATCCACTGCCTTCTCTCCTTGCCTCCATCATCTGGCTTTGGTTCTGCCTTTGGGCCCATGTATTATTAGCCAGCCCTCACACTCTGTCCAGGAGCAGCATACAGAGCTGCATGTGGGACTGGAAGTGCCAGCTGGCTTTTTGTCCTACAGCACCACCAGACTTGGGGAGAATGAGGGAGGCAGGCAAACCCCAGGACAGAGATCCCAGCCAGCCCCAGGTCTGAAGGCCAGAGTGAGCAAGCATCTCTGCCTGCCCATTAAAACTCACCATACCCAACTACAATTCTGAATGTCATTTTACTGAATCACTTAAAAATTTGTATCTATCTGCTTCTTACTGCTTTTTCACTTGTTAAATTTTTACTAGGGTAACTGGGTATGGTGCCACACACCTGCAATCCCAGGCTCAGGAAGCTGAGAAAGGAGGATCACAAGTTTCAGGCCCAGCCTCAGCAATTTGGCAAAACCCTTCAAAATAAAAAATATGAAGGACTAGGGATATAGCTCAGAGTGCCCCTGTTTTCAATCCCCAATGCCCCCCACTCTATTTTTTTTTAACTAGGGTAAATAACTTTCCACAGAGATGGTCTCTGATTGAATCATAACACAGCTAAAAACAAGAAATACACAGTTAAGGGAAATCATATATCACAGTACAACTTAATTCTATTTATGGGGCTGTAATTACAGTAGTTGCTTTGTCTCTATTGGTGGTAGATGAAATAATACCCCCGCCCCCGCCCCAAGATATTCCAGGTCCTAATTCCTGGAATCTGTGAATATATTACCTTACAAAACCAAAGTGACTTTACAAATGTGATTAAGAATTTAGAGATGGGGGCTGGGGATGTGGCTCAAGCAGTAGCGCGCTCGCCTGGCATGCGTGCGGCCTGGGTTCAATCCTCAGCATCACATACAACAAAGATGTTGTGTCTGCCGATAACTAAAAAAATAAATATTAAAATTCATTCTCTCTCTCTCAAAAAAAAAATAAAAAATAAAGAATTTAGAGATGGGAAGGTTTATCCCTGAGGGCCCAGTATAGTCAAAGCAGACTTTATAAGAGGGATGCAAGAGGTTTAGAGTCAGAGAAGGAGGTACAACAACAGAAACAACACTGGAGTGATGTGATCAGGAATATGGGCAGCCTTAAAAGCTAGAGTAGGCAAGTACATGATTCTCCATTAGAGTAAACTAGAAGGAGTACTGTATTGGACTTCAGCAAGACCTGTTTTAGACATTTGTGTTGTTTTAAGGCATTACATTTGGGTAATTTGTTACAGCAGCAACAAGAAACTAATATATCATCTAAATCCAATTCATCAGCTACTATATTTGAGGTATTCTGAGGACCTATAATCTATATGCTATATCAGGGAAACCAAGATCAATTATATTCTCAACCTTGGCTTACATTAGAATCAGCTGGAGATTTAGGGGTGGGGGAGAAATTTTTAATGCCTGGGTTGCACCATAAACCAAGTAGTTTATAATTTCTGGCACTGGGACTTAGGCAACAGTAGTTCTGAATGCATTCTGGGTGATTCCAAGGTGCAGCCAAGTTTCAGATCCTATAAGCCTAAAACATAATCAGCCAGGGACCAAAGGCAGAAAGAGTGGATACATCAAAATCAAGATTAAGACTTTAATATTACTATTAATATTTAATATGATCATTAATGATGCCTCTCTGAGCTCTCAACTTCTTCATTTCACAGCCTGACACTTCCATTCTTGTCCTTATTTCCCACCCTGGATTCCCCAAAGCTACTGCCATTCCAAAGTTAGTGCTGCTACTGTTAATAGCATCTAATTTTAGAGCTGAATAGAACTTTAGAAATGGGATCAGACAGTCACCTCTTTATATAGATGAGGCCAAAAGAGCAGAAGGGACTCTTGACCAAGTTCATATAGGTGCAGTGGCAACATCTGAACTAAATGCAATTTTCCCATCTCATTCTGGTAATCTTTCCACAGTATTGGTTTTGGTACAAAATCCTTATAATATCCACAATATCTCCAATGACCTCCTTTCATGGGGAGATGGAGATAAAGATACTTCTTTTCTTAGGACAGCTTTTCACATGCAGGCCAGAATGAAGCCTAGCTGGAAACTTTTAAAAGCTATACACAATTTTCAAAATAGCTGAGTCTAGCTTTTAGCAAAAGGTATGTTTCTGAAAAGTTGTCTATAAAATTAAATAAAATAGTTTGCATGCATCAGTTCCTTTATCCTTATGTGAGTAATCACCTTGTAATAAAAATAGCCATTGCGGGGACTCCTTGGAGAAATGGCTGATTCTTGGACTAGGACAGGAAATATATAAGATGAGCCTGGAACATCTTGTGCCAGAAAGTAAATAAGGGCTTAAAAACAAATAAAAACAAAACTCCCACATCAGTGTAGGTATGCCAAAGGGACACAGGAGAAAACCGCAAAAGCCCCCAATAGCCAATTCAAGCATCAAGAAAAGACATACTGAATTACTCTGCATAGGATAAAATAGATATCTGTGAGTCCATGATGATACAAATAAATGATTTACTAAATAAATAAATAATCAGATAAATAGGAAAGAAAAAACATATATCCCACACAGAATAATTCCAAATAATTTGTATAAATACCCTCAAGGTAGTGGAGCACAACTCCTTATTCCTTATGTGTGAACTATACATTGTGACTTTCTTCAAAAGACCACAGTAGGGAAAAAAGAATAAAGATACAATACAGAAACCTGGCAAACATGACCTCAGCAAAGTGATCAAGGTCAATATCAACAATAAGGATGTTGATAAATCATTGGTATGATGTGATGAAAACAGTACTTTACCTCTGTGTTCTTCCATTCCAAAACCCATAACCCTGGTATAACCATGAGAAAAACACCAGGCAAAGTCCAATAAAGGGGCATTCTACATAATACTGAGCAGCACGCTTCAAAATCTCAAGGTCATAAAAAACAAGAAAAATCTAAGAAGCTGTTATAGCCAAGAGGGACCTAAGGAGACAATGACAGTTAAGCGTAATATATTATCCTGGATGGGATCTTAGAACAGAAAGACATCACATAAAAACTGAGGAAATCTGGATGAAGTATGAACCATAATGAAAATGCCATTAATCAGCAGCTTAGGAGGCTGAGGCAGGAGGACGTCAAGTTCAAAACCAGCTTTAGCAACTTAGTGAGGCACTAGCCAACTTAGTGAGAGTCTCTCTCAAATAAAATACAAAAAGGGCCGGGATGTGGCTCCATGGTTGAGTGCTCCTGGGTTCAATCCCCAATACTAAAAAAAGAAAATGCCATTAATTGTAACAAATATATCACACTAATGTAAAATGTTAATAACAGGGGAAACTGGGGCTGGGGATGTGGCTCAAGCAGTAGCGTGCTCGCCCGGCATGTGTGCGGCCCGGGTTCGATCCTCAACACCACATACAAACAAAGATGTTATGTCTGCCGAAAACTAAAAAATAAATATTAAATTCTCTCTCTCTCTTTAAAAAAAAAATAACAGGGCAAACTGGTGTGAGGTATATGGGAATTCTAAACTATTTCCTCAAATTTTCTGTAAAACTAAAACTGTTGTAAAAATTGTCTTTTGTAAAGTCACCCTCTATTTT